GCATTTATTTTGTATACTGCAACGTTACTGAAATTATTTATTAGCTCTAAGAGTTTTTTTTTTTTCCTTTTTTCGTGTCCGGCAACGGATCGCAACCCTCAGTGTCGCGCCCGCACCGGACCGGGACCAGCAACGGGATCGCAACCCTCGGTGCTGTGCCCGCACCTCGCTCAGCCAGTGAGCGGGAACCGGTCTGTATGTGGGATCCGAACCCTCGGCGGGAGCGCCGCCACACTCCCAAGCGGCGCACTGTAGCAGTGCGCCCCTGGGCCTGCTCTAAGAGTTTTTTGATAGAGTGTTTAGGATCATGTCATCTGCAAATAGGGACAGTTATGCTGGCCTTATAGGATGAGTTTGGGAGAATGGCTTCTGTTTCAATGTTTTGGATTGGAATAGTTTGAGGAGAATTGGAATTAATTCCTCTTTGAAGGTTTGATAGAATTAATCAGTAAAACCATCCAGACCCAGGCTTTTCTTTGTTGGAAGACTGCTGATTACCAGTTTAATTTTGTTGCTTGTTATTGGTCTGTTCGGGTGTTCTGTCTCTTCTTGATTCAGTCTGGGTAGTTTGTATGTGTCCAGAAATTTATCCATTTCTTCCAGGTTTTCATATTTGTTGTCATACAGTTGTTTATAGTAGTCTCTAATGATTCTTCTTATTTCTGTGGTGTCAGTTGTAATGTCTCCCTTTTCATTTCTGATTTTTGTTCTTTGGGTCTTCTATTCTTTTTTCATTAACCTAGGTAATGGTTTGTCTATTTTACTTATCTTCTCCAAAAAACCCAACTTTTTGTTTCATTGACCTTTTGTATCATTTTTTGGGTCTCTATTTCATTTAGTTCTGCTCTGATCTTGATTATTTCTTTTCATCTACTACCTTTTGGATTGCATTGTTGTTTTTCTACATCTTTGAGGTGTAGTGTTCAGTCATTTATTTGAAATCTTTCCATTATTTCGACATAAGCATTGTTGCAATAAACTTCCCTCTTAGTACTGCTTTTGTAGTATCCCACAGGTTCTTGTGTAATATATCTTTATTTTCATTAGTTTCAGAAATTTTTTGATTTCCTGTTTAATTTCTTCTTGGACCCGTAGGTCATTCAGAAGCCTATTGTTTATTTTCCATGTATTTGTACAGTTTCCAGGGTTTTGCTTGTTATTAATTTCCAATTTTTTAGTCCGTTGTGGTCTGAAAAGATACTTGGAATGATTTCAGGTTTTTTAAATTTGCTGAGATGAGATTTGTGACCTAGTATGTGGTCTATCCAGGAAAATGTTCCATGTGCTTATGAGAAGAAAGTATATTCTGTAGTTGCTGGGTGAAATATTCTGTTTGTATCTGCCAGGTCCAGTTGGTCTAAGGTGTAGTTTAAATCCTGTATCTCTTTGTTGATTTGTTGCCTGGAAAATATGTCCCATACTGAGATCAGGGTGTTCAGATCACCCACTATTATCATATTAGGGCTTATTTCTTTCTTTAGGTCTAAGAGTGTTTGCTTTATATATCTGGGTGCTGCAGTATTGGGTGCATACATATTTATGATATGTCTTCTAGATGGACAGATTCCTTTATCATTTTATAGTGGCCTTCTTTGTCTCTTTTTATGGTTTTTGGTTTAAAGTCTATTTTATCTGATATAAGAGCAGGTACTCTTGCTCATTTTGGGTTTCCATTTGCATGGTATATCTTTTTCCATCCCTTCACTTTTAATCTGTGTCTTTACAGGTGAGGTGAGTCTGTTGAAGACAGCATATACCTGGGTCTAGCTTTTTAATCCATTGGTTCAGTTTGTGTCTTTTGAATGGGGAATTTAATCCATTCACATTTAAGGTTGTTATTGACAGGTATTGTTTAACTTCTGTCATTTAATTGCTTTTTGTTTAGATGTTTTAAATGTCTTTTTATCATTACATCCCCTTTTATTTCTCTTCTTCAATGTTGGTTGGAAATTTGAGGTGGCATGATTTAGCTTCTTTCTCTTTCTTGTTTGCATTTTTGTTTTAACAGGAGGTTTTGCTCTTGTGTATCCGTGATAGTGATCATCATTATTCAGATTCCAGATGAAGGACTTCCTTAAGAATTTCTTGCAGGGCTGGTCTTGTGGTGGTGAACTCCCTCAATTTTTGTTTGTCTGGGAAATACACTATTTCTCCTTCATTTCTGAAGGAGAGCCTTGCTGGCAATTTTTTTCTTTTAGTATTTTGAATATATCATTCCACTTTCTTCTGTCCTGTAGGGTTTCAGTTGAGAAGTCTGGTGTTAGTCTGATTGAGTTCCCTTATAGGTGACTTAACACTTTTCTCTTGCTGCCTTTAGAATTCTCTCTTTGTCTTTGAGCTTTGCAAATTTGAGTATAATGTGTCTTGGAGAGGATCTTTTTGGATTGAATCTGTTTGGGGACCTTTGAGCTTCCTGGATCTGAAGGTCTGTATCTCTCCCTACACATGGGAAGTTTTCTGTTATTATTTCCTTGCATAGGTTTTCAATGCCTTTTCCTTTTTCCTCCCCTTATGGAATGCCCACAGTTTGGATGTTAGAGCATTTGAGGGTGTCTGCTTTCGCTCAGATTTTCTTAATTATTTTTAATTCTTTTTTCCTTGTTTTTGTCTGCCTGGGTTATTTTGAAAAGACCATCTTCTAGCTCTGAAATTCTTTCTTCTGCTTGCTCTAGCCTGCTCCTCAAGCTCTCTGTTGTGTTTTTTATTTCACTGACTGAATCTTTCATTTCTAGGAGTTCTGTAACACTTCTTTTTAAGGTATTAATCTCTTTATAAATTTCCTCCTTCATATTCTGGATATTTTTTCTTGTTTCATTGGTTCCATAATTGAGTCTTCTCTTATCTCTTCAAGTTTTCTTAAGATCATTGCTCAGAATTCCTTTTCAGACATTTCAAGGGTTCCCTGTTCTATGGGGTCTGGTATTTGAGCATTACTGTATTCCTTCAGTGGTGCCATATCTTCTTGTTTGTTTGTAGTTCTAGTATTTTTTCATTGATGTTTGGTCATCTGGTAGAGGACTTGCTTCTTCTGTTGCTCTAGGGTTGGCTATGAAGATAGGATTTCCATTTCTATTTGCAGGCTCTACTGGTGACTCTTCTTATATCAATGTAGTTGAGTGTGGGACAGATTGCCTATAGAGTGGCCCTGGCTGCTAATGTGGTGGTGAGCTGTCCTTGCGGTGACAGTAGGTGCGGTGGTGTACATAGTGTGCCACCTTGGCTCCTGTTCCAGCAGTGAGTGAGGCTTTCCATGGCTGTAGAGTGAGCCCCTGGTGTTGCGTAGGGCTCAGCTCACCTCTGCACCTGCTGGGGCTTGTGGGTGGTTCCCACTGGGGCTATAGAGTGAGCCTCCGTGTATATTTTTTAAAATAGATGCTACCAAACTCCCATGAAGAGATGACATGAAATTATTCATTTTTCTAACTTTTCTACTAAGAAAAGTTATTATTTCTGTTTTTGTTGTGATTTTAAATATAAGACATATTTAGACCACTCCCAGATAGATTATAAATAGATTACAGATGGATAACAGGTAGGTAATTCAATTAAGTATAATATACATACAGACAAGTACCCAAATAGTAATTATACAGTTCACTGAATGATCACAAAGTGAAATATATCCATGTAAATAGCTTCTAGATGAAGAGACAATATTACAAGCATCTCAGAAGTGTAACTTGTGCCCTCTTCCAGTCACTGTCTTCCCCAAAGGGTAACTGCTATCCGGACTTCGAGGCTTAGATTAGTTCTGAAGTATGCATTCCTTTGTGTCTGACTTCTTTCATTCAGTGTTAGGTTTCCAGAGAAAATATAGGATGCTCAGCTAAATTCAAACTTCAGGTAAATGACAAATCATTTTGCATGGGACATAGTTATATAAAAAATGATTCTTGGGCCGGCCCGGTGGCGCACTGCTACAGTGCGCCGCTTGGGAGCGCGGCGGCGCTCCCGCCGAGGGTTCGGATCCCACATACAGACCGGCCGCTCACTGGCTGAGCGAGGTGCGGGTGCAACACCGAGGGTTGCGATCCCGTTGCCGGTCCCCGTCTGGTATGGGCGCGACACTGAGGGTTGTGATCCGTTGCCAGTCACGAAAAAAGACAAAAAGGAAAAAAAATAAATAAATAAAAATGATTCTTAATTTCTCTAAAATTCAAATATAACTGGATGTCCTGTATTTTTTTTCTTTTGGTAAATCTGGTAACCCTAATTCAACATTATGCTTGTGAGATTCATCTACAGTATTGCATGTAGTTGTAGGTCATTCATTTCCATTACTATATAGTATTCCACTGATGAGTGCACCACAGTTTATCCTTTCTATTGTTGGATGGGCATTTGGGTAATTTCCAGTTTGGGACTATTATGAATAGTGCTGCTATGAATACTCTTGTACAGGTATTTTTGATGAGTATATGTACTCAAATTCCTTCAATCCTGAGTCCTCCTGTAACTGCTACCCTATCTCATTCCCTTTAGAGTCAAGCTCCTCAAAAAAGTTTATGCTGCTTAGCAACACATGTGATTCACTCTTAGTTTCATTTCTTTGGTCAGATATAGCATACATACAGAAAATTACATAAGGCATGTATGTAGTTTAATAAATAAAGTGAACACCCATGTAACTACCACTTATGTTGAACAACAAAGCACTTCAGCACCCATTTGTAGTCCTCTCAGATGATGACCCCTCCATTCCCTCCCTGGGTAACCACTCTCCTGACTTTTGTGATGATGATTCCTTTGCTTTTCTTAATAACAGTGCCACCTTTGTATATATCTCTAAGCAGAATAATTTAGTTTTATCTATTTTTAAACTTTATATAAATGGAGTCATACTGTGTGTAATCTGTTATGTCTTGATCTTCCACTCAACACGGTGTTTGAAGGATTCATCTATGTTGCATATAGCTGTAGCTCATTTCTTTTCTTTTCTGTATAGTAGTATTCCATCGTATGACTAAAACACTATTTATTCTTTCTACTGTTTCTTTCAGTTGTTTCCAGTTTTTGGCCTATTATCAATAATGCCCATATGAACCTTCTTGTTTATGTACCCTTGTGCATATGTGTGAAGAGTTTTCTAGAGTATGTATTTGGAAGTAGAATTGCTGGGTCATAGGGTATGTATACACCAAACTGTCTTCCAAAGTGTTTTTTCCAATATATGAGAGTCTTTGTTGCTCCACATCCCGCAACACTGTTTTGTCAGAATTTTTAATTTTTGCCAATCTGGTAAATGTGGAGCAGTACTTTGTTGTGGTTTAATTTTCATTCCCTCCATGACCAATGGGATTAATCACTTTTTCATATGTTTATTGGTCAGGTATATTTTCTTTTCTGTAAAATGCCTGTTCAGTTCTTGCCCATTCTCCTATTGAGTGTCTATCTTTTTCTTACTGATTTTAAAAAGTAATTCTTTATATACTGTAGATTCTAGTCATTGATAAGTTATATTTATCGCAAATCTCCCCATCCCTGTGTGTTTTGCAAGTATCTTCCTCATCTCTGGCTTGTCTTTTCACTTTTCATTTATGATTACCTTATTTTGTGTCTTGTTTTAAAAATCCATCAGTACCCCAAGGTCTTGAAGATATTCTTCTATATTATCTAATAAAAGCTTTAGAGTTTTCCCTTTCACACTTTGTAGAACTGTTTTTTGTACATGGTATGATGAAGTGGTCCAGTTTTGTTTTTCCCTACAAATACCCATTTGTCCTAGCACTGTTTATTTAAAAGTTCATCCTTTCCCTACTGATAAGCAGTGTCACTTCTGTCATATATTAAGTGCCCAAATATACCTTGGTTTGTTTCTGGGTACTCTGTTCTATTAAGTCAAAATTAAGTCTTCCAAATCTATATACATAGTATATCTCCCCATTTATTTAGAACTTCTTTAGTATTTCTTAATAATTTTCCCTGTAGAAGTCTTGTATATCTTTTGTTCTATTCTTAGGTAATTTGTATTTTGACAGTAGTGTGATATTTTGAAAACTTTTTATTAAAGTCTAATACACAAACAGAAAAGTATACCCATCATAAGCATATAGTTTGCTGAATTTTCACAAACTGAGCAAGCCCATGTAAACAACAGGTATTTTACTCTTTTTAAGTTTTATTTTTTAACTTTGTTTTTGGTGTATGGGAATAAAATTTATTTTTTTTAATATTGATTTTATATCCAGCAACCTCATTCATTCTCAGTGGTCTGTCTTTACTCACCTTGTTAAAACTACTATTTAAAAGATCACCAGGGAGTGGAACCATGTGGCTCCACATGGCCCCCTCACCCCGCTGCCTCCAACTCAGGCAGGGGGGGAGCTCCAGGCCCCGCCCCCATGCCCTGAACCGGCACCATGCAGGTGAGCTGACCAGTGGCAGCTGGCAGTAACACCAGCCAGCAGAACCACATGGCTGGACACGGCCCCTCACCCCACCTCAGAACCAGGGGGGAGCATCAGCCTATAGATCCAACCCACCGAGTTTGGCCCAGTAGAACTCCACAACACTAGGGGCTCATTCTATGACCACAGAGTCTTGAACGGGAACCAAGGTGGTTTAAAATGACCACCACCATACCTACTGTCAAGCAAAGACAATTCACCCCCCACAGTAGCAACCAGGGCCACTCCACAGCCAACCTGTGTAATAGAAGAAGCAAACCCCCTACCAAATGACCAAGCATCAGCAAAAAAATACTAGAAGTACAAACAATCAAGAAGAAATGACACCACTGAAAGGATACAGTAATGCCCCAAAGTCAGACTCCATGGAACACGGAATCCTTGAAATGTCTGAAAAAGAATTTCAAGCAATGATCTTAAGAAAACTTGAAGAAATAAAGGAAGACTCAATTATAGAACACAATGAAACAAGAAAAAACATCCAGAATATGAAGGAGGAAATCTACAAAGAGATTAATACCATAAAAAAGAGTGTAGCAGAACTTCTAGAAGTGAAAGACTCACTCAATGAAATAAAAAACACAACCGAGAGCTTGAGCAGCAGGGTAGAGCAAGCAGAAGAAAGAATTTCAGAGCTTGAAGATGGTCCTTTTGAAATAACTCAGGCAGACAAAAAAAAGGAAAAAAGAATTAAAAATAATGAGGAAAACCTAAGAGAGATAGCAGACAACCTCAAGTGCTCTAACATCCGAATTGTGGGTATTCCTGAAGGGCAGGAGAAAGGAAAAGGTATTGAAAACCTACTCAAGGAAATAGTAACATATTACAGTTAAATTCACAAAGCTCAAAAACAAAGAGAGAATTCTAAAGTGGCAAGAGAAAAGTGTCAGGTCACTTATAAGGGAACCCCCATCAAACTAACAGCAGACTTCTCAACCAAAACCCTGCAGGCCAGAAGAAAGTGGAATGATGTATTCAAAATACTAAAAGAAAAAAACTGCCAGCCAAGAATTCTTTACCCAGCAAGGTTCTCCTTCAGAAATGTGGGAGAAAGAGTGTGTTTCCCAGATAAAGAAAAGTTGTGGGAGTTCACCACCACACGACCAGCCCTGCAAGAAATTCTCAAGAGAGTCATTCATCTGGAATCTGAATAATGGTGACCACCATCACAAATACACAAGAAAGAGCAAAACCCACAGTTAAAACAAAAATGCAAACAAGAAAGAGAAAGAAGCTAAATCATTCTGCCTTAAATTCCCAACTCACATTGAAGAAGAGAAAGAAAAGGGGCAATAACAATCAAAAGATATTTAAACAACCTAAACAAGTAGCAATCAAATGACAGGAATTAAACAACACTTCTCAATAACTACTCTAAATGTGAATGGACTAAACTCCCCATTCAAAAGACACAGACTAACTGACTGGATTAGAAAGCTAGACCCAAGTATATGCTGTCTTCAAGAGACCCACCTCATGTGTAAAGACACTCATACACTAAAAATGAAGGGATGGAAAAAGATATACCATGCAAATGGAAACCAAAAACGAGCAGAAGTAGCTATTCTTATATTGGGCAAAATATATTTTAAACCAAAAAACATTTAAAAAGTCAAAGAAGACCATTATATAATGATAAAGGTAACTATGCACCTAGAAGACATAACAATCATAAACACATATGTACCCAATACCGGAACACCCAGATATATCAAGCAAACACTCTTAGACCTAAAGATGGAGATAGGACCTAATCATTAATAGTGGGTGATCTGAACACTCTTCTCTCAGTATGTGACAGGACTTCCAGGCAACAAGTCAACAAAGAGACACAGAATCTACACCCTAGACTAACTGGACTTGGCAGATATATACAAAACATTTCACCCAACAGCTAAAGAATACACCTTCTTCTCATCAGCTCACAGTACATTCTCCAGGATAGACCACATATTAGCTCACAAATCTAGTCTCAGCAAATTTTTAAAAATTGAAATCATTCCAACAATCTTTTCAGACCACAATGGACTAAAGCTGGCGATAAGCAATAAACAAAACACTGGAAGCTATACAAATACATGGAAATTAAATAATAGTCTCCTGAATGTCCTATGGGTCCAAGAAGAAATTAAACAGGAAATCAAAAAATTTCTAGAAACTAATGAAAATAAAGATAAATCGTACCAAAACTTGTGGGATACTGCAAAAGCAGTACTAAGAGGCAAATTTATTGCAGTAGATTTTTGTATCCAAAAAATGGAAAGACTTCAAATAAAGTACCTAACAACACCTCAAAGAACTTGAAAAACAACAGCAATCCAAACCTTAAGGCAAAAGACGGAAAGAAATGATTGAGATCAGAGCAGAACTAAAGGAAATAGAGACCCAAAAAACAATGGAAAAGATAAACAAAACTAAAAGTTGGTTTTTCGAGAAGATAAATAAAATAGACACACCATTAGCTAGATTAACCAAAAAAAAGGAAAGAGAAGACCCAAATACCAAAATTCATAAATGAAAAGGGAGGCATTACAACTGATACCCCAGAAATACAAGGAATCATTAGAGACTATTATAAACAACAATATGACAACATATTTGAAAATCTGGAAGATATGTATAAGTTTCTAGACACATATAAATTACCAAGACTGAAACAAAAAGAGATTGAAAACCTGAACAGACCAATAACAAGCAAGGAGATTGAAGTGGTAATTGTCAATCTTCCAACCAAAAAAGTCTCGGTCTGGATGGCTTTGACAGCTGAATTCTATCAAACTTTTAAAGAGGAGTTAATACCAATTCTCATGAAACTGTTCCAAACAATTGAAACAGACCCTACTCTCCCAAACTCATTCTATTAGGCCAGCATAACTCTGATACCAAAACCAGATAAAGACACAACAAAAAAAGAAAATTATAGGCCAATATCCTTGATGAACCTAGATGCTGAAATCCTCAACAAAATATTAGCAATTAGAATACATCAACATATTTAAAAAATTATACACTATGATCAAGTGGGATTCATCCCTGGAATGCAAGGATGGTTCAACATATGAAAGTCAATAAATGTGATATATCACATCAACAAGCTCAACAACAAAGACCATATGATTATCTCAATAGATGCTGAAAAAGCATTTGACAAAATTCAACATTCCTTTATGATAAAGACTCTCAACAAATTAGGTATAGAAGGAAAATATCTTAACACAATAAAAGCCATTTGTGACAAACCCACTGCCAGTATTATGCTGAATGGGGAAAAATTGAAGGTCTTCCCGTTAAGGACAGGAACAAGACAAGGATGTGCACTCTCACCACTTCTATTCAACATAGTACTGGAGATACTAGCTAGAGCAATCAGGCAAGAGAAAGAAATAAAGGGAATCCAGATTGGAAAAGATGAAGTCATTGCCACTACCTGATGGACTTTGGACTTCCCAGCCTCAGAAACTACACAGCAAAAGAGAAGAGAAGGCACAAACCAAGCCAAGAAAAGCAACTGCGAGAATTCCAGAGGAAGAAGTTCCTTCTGGGTGGCTGACGTAAAACCTCCAACACTTCGAGCGAGACTGGCGTGCAGAACTTTCTGTCCTGGCACTCCGGCAGCTTAAAAGAATCTACTAGTTCATGAGGATGATTGTACCTCCTCTACAGAGAACGTGTTAAACTCTCTGATAGAATCTTCCTTAAAAACTGCCACAGCTTGAGGA